ACATGGTGTTCATGGGAAGGCACTGGCCGTGCAGAAGGAGATACGGAAGCAAAGCCCATCAGCTAAGATTCAGGGAGTGTTTGGTTGTGGTTCAATTCTGCCTCAAGATGGAGTGGAGTTTGACAAATAGGAGGTTGGGTAGTGTTTGCTCCAGTGCCCATAAAGGCTAAGCTGACCTCAGGAGGACCTACATGGACAGGGGTCTGCTCCTGGGAGAACATTCCAGCCCCAGGGAAACTTCCGTCTTACCCTCCAGATGCCGAAGTGTTCTGATGTAGACTGGGGCTTCCGCTGCAACCAAGGTAGAGCTGCTTCCTCAAGGCTCCAAGGTAACCAGCTGCCTGCAGCACTGAGCTATAGAGTGACTCAGCCCACCCCCAGCTTCCTTTCCTGCATTAAGGTGACGAGGCTTCTGACCATGTGTGGCTGAGAGGACTGAGTCAAGGGCTGACTCCCACCTCTTCCCTTCCCTGAGAATGTTTGCGGGGCGGATCGGGGGTGGTTGTGTCAAGGCTGGTGTCCACAACCTTGTAACCTCTCAATAAAAGAAAGTTGGCGTTGAGCCAGTGATCAGATAGCCCATGTTCCTGCCAGCTCACTGCAGGTTTTTGAAGAGCCAGGCCATGCAGGGGGGTAAGGAGAGAGCAGTAGCATCCTAGCCCTCCCCAGTAAGGAACCAAGGCCTATTGGGGAGAAAGCCCAGTCACCAGAAGAAGGTCTTGGGAGGCGTCTTCTAGTCTGTCGAGGTGTGTACTGTCCCAGCAGGGAGCTGGAAAGAACGGGTTCAATGTGCAGTGGGCTGCAGGAGGACCAGAGCAGCAAGACGAGGGACACATCTGTAGAGTCAACTTGTGATCATCTTAAATATTCTGAGGCACACAGATGTAAATTTTAAATAACTGTAAAGTAGAAGGTAAGTGACCTTTGACTACCCAGACCTTGACCAGTACCATCCTAGCCAGTACCCTCACAACTCTAAAGATATAGAAGATAACCCGGCCAGTGTGGCTCAGTGGTTGAGCGTCGACCTATGAACCAGGAGGTCAGGGTTCGATTCCCGGCCAGGGCACATGTCCGAGTTGCAGGCTCGATCCCCAGTAGGGGCGTACAGAAGACAGTCAGTAAATGAGTCTCATCATTGATGTTTCTATCTCTCTCCCTTCCTCTCTGAAATCAATACAAAAGATATATATTTAAAAAGATACAGAAGATAGATCCTATGAGGGGAGAATGAGGGGGGAGGTGTGAACCCACCTAGAGAAGGGGTGGGAAGGGCCAAGCAGAAAGATCATTAATACAACCATCCCTGTGCAAATCTACTTGTACCCACACTGTCTTTGAGACACAGCAGTGAACACATGCCCAAATGCCCTGTGGAGCAGGATGGGGACACAGGAACCTTTATGGGTGTGACAGGCATGTCGGACCCAAGGCCAGCAGGCAGGCCAAAATGCACCTGTGTTGGGAGAGACTCACGTGCCGGCTGACTTTATGGAATGACCGGTAATCAACTGCCCCCTCTATGAGATGCCCTCACAGGAAAAAGTAAGGGTCCTTCTCTGAGCCTTATCTCCAGTCTCTGAAATGCCAGCAGGTGGAGGTCCCGGGGCAGCCGAGCTGGAAGCAGACAGGTACTCCTTTTTTTTCTTTTAATCCTCACCTGAGGATATTTTTCTATTAATTTTTAAGAGTGGGAAAGGGGGTGGTGGGGGGGAAGAGACACATTGCCTCCCGCATGCACCCTGACCAGGGCTGGGGACCAAACCTGCAATCCAGATGTGTGTCATGAATCGAACCTGAGACCCTTCGGTGCTCGGGCCGATCCTCTAGACCAGGGGTCCTCAAACTTTTTAAACGGGGCCAGTTCACTGTCCCTCAGACCGTTGGAGGGCCGGACTATAGTTTTAAAAAAAACTATGAACAAATTCCTATGCACACTGCACATATCTTATTTTGAAATAAAAAAACAAAACGGGAACAAATACAATATTTGTATTTGCATGTGGCCCGCGGGCCGTAGTTTGAGGACCCCTGCTCTAGACACTGAGTGACACCAGCTAGGGCCAGGAATTCTTTCAGTGGGGACAAGGTGGAGCAGGCCTGAGCTGAGGGCCCAGGCAGCGCACATGGGACAGCTGGAGGAACCGGGGACTGCCATCAGTCTTCTTTCAGGGAAGGGTCAGAGCCTTGCTCCGTGCTCTTCAGAACTGACCACTGTGGCGGGGAGAGGGGGGCTTTGTGGCCAGGCACTTCAGGGTTGGGGGTGAGCATCCCCACATGGGAGGGATGCACTCGGGCCTGGGGGGTGCATGCCTTGACACGTCCCACTGTGGCCCCCTCCAGCACACTCTGTGGGGTTTGCCCAGGGCCCGCCCCTCCTGACCCTGCCCTCAGCCAGCTGGAAGAAACTCTCCAGGTAGCCCTTCCTGGGCAGCAGCCAAACACTTCCCTGTTTCCATTGACAATGAATTTTCATCCTTTGTTCGCCCAAGTGTTTCCCATGGGGCTAGACTCCTCCCTGCAGGGCCAGGGCAGGGATTTTAGCATCAGCTGCTGGTGGGCCACCAGGTGTTTAAGAGCGGACATGAACGGGAGGGGCTGGCAGGCCTCAGTGGGGTACAGAGGAGGAAGCAGCTCCCCACCTCCCTTTCCTGGCTTTGGCCTCACCTGATGGAGAAGACCCCTCCCCACTTCCAGCTTCTCCTCCTAGGCCAGTGATGGCGAACCTCTGACACGCATGTCAGAGGTGACATGCGAACTCATTTTTTTGGTTGATTTTTCTTTGTTAAATGGCATTTAAATATATAAAATATCAAAAATATGTCTTTGTTTTACTATGGTTGCAAATATCAAAAAATTTCTATATGTGACACGGCAGCAGAGTTAAGTTAGGGTTTTTCAAAATGCTGACACGCCGAGCTCAAAAGGTTCGCCATCACTGTCCTAGGCAGACATGGGTCCTGCAGGCGCCAGACAGATACAGGGTAGGTGGGAGGCAGGTCATCCAGCGTCAAAGCAGAAGCCCTGGCCTCCTCCTGGGCCAGCAGAGACCCCTCTGCAGCAGGCCTGGGAACAGGCCCTCTAGGACCCCCACTGACACTCTGAACCCGGCTGCGGCAGTGCTTTGGCGCCCCCCAGTGACTGAGTGGGCCCAGAAGCCTGGGGTTGAAGCCAACACCCTAGGCACAAGGCTGCCCGATTGGCCAGGATTGGGCCCAATGGGTGGCCTGGTGCAAGTTCAGCCAACGGCCTTGATAATGAGAAAGGACTATCTCTCTGATGGCGGCCTGGGGAGCTTTATCTTCTAGGCACCAGGAGCACAGGTGGGGACCAGGCAGACTAGATATGCAGGGACATGTGCTCCACATTGTCTGGCCCTTCCCTGGATTCCTGGTGGGAGGTTGGCTCCAGGCAGAACCACACCCTCCCAAGCTTCTTCCTTAGTGCCACACCCCAGTGTCTAGGGCCTCACTCTGGGCACCCCTGGAGTCCTGCTACACCCTCACTGAGGAGGCCTCTGGCCCTGCTTGCTGCTGGGCAGGCTGTATCCACCTGTCACCACCTCAGGTCGTAAACCCCATGGGAAGCAGTTGGGGCCAGCAGACCTGAGCTCAACTCCCTTTTATGTTGGCTGGGTGGTGAGGCAAGGTCCTCAGCCTCCCTGGGCCTTAGTTTCTCCACTTGTACCTGGCATGCAGGCAGCTCAGTGTAAGGGGGGAGGGGGATGCAGTCTGGGAGATGTTTAGCTAACTCCCTTTCAAGTCAGATTTAGTAACCTTCTTGGTGGTGTCCCTGTGACTATGGTGGCAGTTGAGCTCTCCTCCCAGCCTGCCTCCCCTCTGTCCCCCCCAAGCCCTAGCCTGTTGGGGTCTTGGCCTTTTCTGTGCCTTTGATTTGGGTACTGTACATGGCCTCACCTGGGGCCCTGATTACATGTCCCATGGGACAGCTTGTTCACGAACCTGAGACTTGCAATGCTGCCCACTCGGCCCATCTGGCCCTGGGTGTCATGTTGGCAGCCGGGCTGCACACAGGGGCCAGGTCCTACTATGATCTCATGGCCCCATGTGGCCCTGCTCCAGGAGTGCCCTTGGACAAGCTCTGCTGGGGGCCCAGCCTGCAGGTGCCATCTTGGGACCTCTCAGAGGTTTACAGCGAGGCCAGAAAGATCAGGAGGGGCTGGCTTGACTAGGCCAGGGGTCGGCAAACTTTTTGACTCGAGGGCCACAATGGGTTCTTAAACTGGACCGGAGGGCTGGAACAAAAGCATGGATGGAGTGTTTGTGTGAACTAATATAAATTCAAAGTAAACATCATTACATAAAAGGGTACGGTCTTTTTTTTTTTTTTTTTTTTTTTTTTAGTTTTATTCATTTCAAACGGGCCGAATCCGGCCCGCGGGCCGTAGTTTGCCCACGGCTGGACTAGGCCATCTCCTGCTGTCTGAAGTCAGATGACACATGGTTCCCAGTACCTCAACCACCACCAGGCGGTGCTGAGCCAGGCCCATTGCACTCTACCTCTTGACCCCCGCAGGGGAAGGAGCCGAATTGTGTGTGTGCAGCAACAGCTTTAATCTGTGGTGACACTGTCCTAGCTTTGCCCTTCTGCATCCAGGCCGCCCTCACTCTGCCTGGAAGAGTCTTTTTTTTTTTTTTTTAAATATATTTTTATTGATTTCAGAGAGGAAGGAAGAGGGAGAGCTAGAAATATCAATGATGAGAGAGAATCACTGATCGGAATCGAACCTGGGACCTTTCAGTCCGCAGGCCAACGCTCTATCCACTGAGCCTGGAATTGAACCTGGGACCCTTTAGTCCGCAGGCCGATGCTCTATCCACTGAACCAAACCAGCTATGGCTGGAAGAGTCTTTCTTGAGAAGATGAAAGCAGGGTCACTGTGCAAGTCAGTGCCTGGTGTTTGCGTGAAACATCTCTGGGCAATTTGTCTTTAGTTACAGTACTGCTGAGTGATGGACAGAAACAGACCCAAGACTGTGTCAGCAGGGTGAGGCTGGGCACAGAAAGCAGAGTTCCCATATTTATTATCATACATACATACATATATATATATTTCATGTGTATACACAGATAGTTTTCTCTCTTGGAAGTATTAAAAAAATTGATCAACCTTCAATCTATAAAAAATACCTACTCTACATGATAGAAAAATCTCTCCTCCAAGTTTACACTGATTTACACCCAAGGCTTTCCCCAAAATATACAATACGAGGCAACGTCTTAAGTCTTAGTGTAGAAGGTGGGCCATGTAGAAGATGGAGGGATGCAGGGCAACACACATGCTTACACGCACACACACATGCATACACCTCCCATACGCGGTCACACACAACAGTAGCCAGTTGGTGGTGGGTCTTGGCCCACCTGGGAGTGCCTGGAGGCTCCTGGCCAGTGCTCGGGCTAAGGTGGGCGGCAGGCCCAGCATCCCTGTGGGGGTGACACTGCTGCTCCTGGCAGCGCAGGTGCTGGGCAGTGGTAGTGCAGAGCTGGGCAAGGGACCCCCACGCTGCTGGGAAGGCCTTGTTCTCTGCTCTTGATCTGTGTCCTTGGACGCCTGCCCTGCTCGGCCTTCTGCAGAATGTACCTGGGGAAGAATGATGACTTCTAATGACTTTGGACTCCTGGAGGAAACATTTGGACTCTGGCCTGGGAAAGTGGGACTTTACCCAAGGCAGCAAGATCTGCACAGAAAATGGGGTAATCCAGGAGGCCAGGAAGGCCACGCCCCTGGGGAGGTAGCACCTCACCCTGGCCCTGTCTATACCTCAGGAGTCAGAGGGGTCTGGCAATGTCCACCCCTCCCAGATAGTACATTCCACACCATTAGACTCTGAAGTCCTGATTTCAGAGCAGAGGCCCCAGCTCCCACAGGTTATTGTAGAGAGGGTCCAACTGTGAGAACAGATGCATGGCCGGAAGCCCCTGGGCCTGAAGCTGGACTGAGTGACAGCCTGAGCAGCTCAGGGAGACAGCCTCAGAAAAGCTTGGGGGAAGAGGGATGGGCTATAGCTTCTGGTCAGACCCTGACTCGCACCGGCCTCACTGCCTGTCTTCCTTTCACATACCACCGCATCTGGGGCCTCTAGATGGTCCAGGAGCGGCCGAGCCTTGAGTGGCACCAGGTCAGGATGCCTGTGCTGACATGCATAGCTGCACCCAGGTGGGGACCCATTTCCTTCATTTCCTTCTTTTCTCCCCTGACAGGGCAGGATAACGGGAGGGTCTACTATGTGAGAGGGAGCTTATGGAGAGGCTCATCCCAGCATGAGACACTGTCCTCACATCTCTGCAGAGGAGGGGGCAGGGGAAGGCCAGAGCTGAGAGCAGGCCCAATTCCACCTGCATCTGCTGTGGGTTCCAGACCAAGGGCTTCTCTTTCCTTCTCCCTCTTCCACCACCCCATCTTTATGTGCCCCAGCTCAGCTGTGCGCTCTGGGCTCGGTGGGCATGGGACCTGCTATTCTTGGCCCACGTGTGCCGCGGCCATCTCTGTGGTGTTGGTGGAGTCCAGAATCACCCTGGGCTGGGCTTGGCTGCTTCTACTTGACCTCCAGGATGGACGGGTTGGTCTCCATGATGGCCACGATGATCCTGTCAATGTAGTCCTGCAGGCGAAAGTTGATCTCTTCCTGCTTTTGAATCGCTTCCATGAGCTGTGGGAGAAGCAAGAGGTGGGCACTGGGCACAGACTATGGGCACTTTTTTTTCTTTTTCTTTTTGAGACTGTGGGCACTTTAGAGCCCCAAGCCTAGGGGAGTGGATACATTACCTCATCGCGGGAGACCGAGCTGATCTCTGCGGCCAGAGATTCAGAGAAGGATGTGGAGAAGAGGTTCTTGGCGCCCTGGATGCTCAGGTTTATGATCTGTCCATTGAGCTCATCGTTCTGCTCCTTCAGGTTACGGTTATCCTAGGGTGGGCAGCATGACAGTGTCATTCCTGGGCTGTGACCCTCCAGAGACCCCTCTTCCAATGCGGGTTGCCAGTAAGCTTCTTCCAGGTATAAGGGTGTCTGCCCAGCAGTACCTGCTTCAGCCTGCGGACCTCCTGCTCCAGCTCGCTCTCCCGGGTACGGCTATTGTACTCCTGTAGGCCTACACTGTTGCTCCGGCCCCTCCTCTGCTCCGCCTCCAGCTTGAAGAGCTGTAGGTGCTCCAGCTGCTTCCGCAGGTCCTCAATTAGCTGTGAGGAACCGCAGAGTGAGCAGCCAACCCAGTCCCTGGTTTCAGAACCTCTGCATCGGTCTAAATGCCATTTCTGAGGAGGAGGAGGATGCCACGCTTCCCAAACACCACCATGCACCCAGTACCTCCCCCCTTCCCCCACCCCCCGCTGAAAGCAGTGGGCTCCCAGCTCACTCCAGGTGGGCCCTATGGATTCTGGGACCTCACTAAGTGACAGTCCTGGGCTTGTGTTCACCTCCTGGGTTGCCTCCTTGTCCTTCTGGAATTGGTGTCTCTCGTGACTCAGCCTGTCCCCCAGCTTCCTCCTGTTTTCCTGCTCGTCACTGAGCCGCAGTGACAACTCTTCAATCTCATCCAGCAACTTCTGTTTCTCCTGCAAAGTTAAACACTTGCCATGGACACACTCACCTGCCACCCCATACACATGGCTTTCCTCAGCTGCATGTGTCCTGAGTCTCAGTTCACTGACGTCCACAGGGCTGCACTGGAGCCTTCCTGTCAAAGCCCAGGTGCACACACACAGGCATGCGCTCTCAGGGCCGGTGCCTACCCCGAGTGCAGTGCATATGGAAGGTGGGTTCTTGGTGTGGGCACCTCCCCCCAAAGTACTGTTTCTAGGGGAAGGCAAGAGCAGGCCCTGACCCCCGGCCACTCAGCAGGAGTTGTTCACGGCAACCAGAGCCCAAGTGGTATTCGACTTGCTCAGGGTTCAGAGCTTCCCAGGAGGCACTTGGCAGGAAGTGGAGGATGGGGGAGGAGAAGCCTCTCAGTGAACATCTGCAGAATAGGGCGCGAGGGGTCCAGCTGAAGTCGGCCCCTCAAAGACATCCCTGGGTTCAGACCACGGGTCAATCGAAGCATGAACCTCTGACCCAAGGATCCTGTGTCTGTGGGAAAGCTGAGCAGCCAGGCAGGCTCCAGCATCTTCCAGCAAAGGGCAGTGGCCTGAGCTGAGCTTGTTCCCTCACACACAGGCCTGGCAGGCCCGGCATCATCAGCCTGCTCTTTGGAGCAGCAGCTCCCCAGCCTGTGGCGCACCCCTTGGCTGGCCATACCCCTGCAGACCCATTAGCTGGCTGTGAGTGCCCTGCTCTGGCTAACCTGTCTCAGCACATCCCGATCCAGAGGGTGTGGGAAAGCATGTAGGCCAGCATGACTGGTCTCGGTGACCACACAGTGCAAGGCCTGGCCCTGTCCACAGCGCTCCTGGCAGGCAGCTTACCTCCTCCAAGCGTTCGATGTTGGCCTTCAGACAGGGCGTGCAGGACCTCAGCTCACTGTTCTCCTCGTCCAGTTGCTGCAGCCTGGGATATAGAATGAGGCTGGGACCCACTCCCTAGGAATTCATCTCCTGGGGGTGAGGGAGGCTGAGTGTCTTGGAAATCTCAATAGGGGCTTCCCAGGCATCCACAGAGGCTACTCCCCAGTGCCGACAGCCCAGCCCTTACACACACAAGTGCTCTGGGCCACAACTTTTCATGGACTAGGACGGCTGTTAAATACACTCTGGGTGCGGGGATAATTTCAGGTTTACAGAGTTACAGACACAGTGCAGAGTCCCTGTGGACCCTTTCAGCTTCCTCTCGAAGCATCTGCTCATCACTGCAGCAGGTTGGTCACAGCCCACCCACCCGCACCCCAACACTCTGGTCACCAAACCATGGATGCAGTTCGGCTTTTCCACAAGTGCCCCTCTAGGACCCTCCCAGGACCACACTGCACTTCGTTGTCTCCATTGTCCCCTATGTGTTGGGGCAGTCTCGCAGATTTTCCCGGTTTTTCATTACTTTGACAGTTTTGAGCAGTTTGGGTTATGTATTTAGTAGAACGTCCTTCAAATTGGGTCTTCCTTGTGTTTTCTCATGATTAGCTGGGTTATGGTTTGGAAAAGAACCCCACAGAAGTGAGGTGCCACTCTTGTCACATCAGATCAGGATGCCTAAGTCTAAGTGGGTGATGCTAACCTGGACACCTGGTTAAGGTGTGTCTGCCAGGGTCTCCTCTGTCAAGTTCTACTTTTCCCGCCCATTCTCTGTATCTGGAAGACGGTCACTGAGTCCAGCCCACGCTCCATGGAAGGGAGGACTCAGCACCACCCCCGGGAAGGGGGATCTCCATGTATTATTTGTAATTCCTCTGTGAGGAAGGTGTGTGTCTTCTCCCCATTTACCAGCCATCACATTTAATTACACTTTGGGTTATGGGCCAATGGTATCAGTAGTGTGTGTCCCACCTTTGACCTTCAGTTGGCTCGTGTCCTTGGGATATGCACCCATCACTGCGTGTGTATGCTTTTGTATGAGCACTTCCCTACTTTCTGGCACTACAAGATGCTCTAGGCCAGTGGTTCTCAACCTTCTGGCCCTTTAAATATAGTTCCTCATGTTGTGACCCAACCATAAAATTATTTTCGTTGCTACTTCATAACTGTAATGTCGCTACTGTTATGAATCGTAATGTAAATACCTGATATGCAGGATGGTCTTAGGCGACCCCTGTGAAAGGGTCGTTCGACCCCCAAAGGGGTCGCGACCCACAGGTTGAGAACCGCTGCTCTAGGCTCTGCTGGTCTACCCTGTCCCCGCCATAAACTCAGCCCTTTCTCTAGGATCCCTGGTTCCTTTCCATAATCCAGTTGTCCTCACCACTATGTTGCTCTGAAGCCCCTCTCACTGAGGGTGTCTTCCTATACACCATAATGGGCTGAGGCCATGCTGGGGAGGCCCCTGTGCTGGGCTGACCTCAGGGTGCTGACCCAGGGCTGCAGGGGCTCCTGAGGACCTGAGCGGCCCCGCAAGAACCACAGGCCTCCTCTGTTCCCCATCACACTCCCAGGGAGCTGTAGGAGGCTGATAAGGTCCAGGCACACAGAGCCACTGACCTAGGTGACCAAGGCAGGCAGCAAGTTTGGCCAGAAGAAGCTGTGACACCGACTCCTGCGGTAGGAGACCCCATCTACCATGTGCCCCTCCATGCTGCTACCCTGCGTGGCCAGTAGGACAACCTGGCTGTGTAGGCTTTGGTGTGGGCCGATGTGGGAAGCAGGATAGCTCTGCCTCTCAGCGCCACAGCCCCAGTGGAGGTCCAAAGGAAAGGCTACCAGCACGCACAAATGAGAAATAGTTGAGTCCACTAAACTGCGCTGTCATGGCTGTCTGGGTGGTGGCACCCCACTGTGTCTGCATGCAAGGAGGCTTCCCTGTCCAAGGTGACCCTGGCACAGCTCTGGTACAGCCCACTCATGCCACCCCACTTTTGAAAATGCCCAGGAGTTCTTCTTAGATAAAGTCTAAGTGTATCTTCCTAGCTTTAAGAACTGGAGAGGCCCTAACCGGTTTGGCTCAATGGATAGAGCGTCAGCCTGCAGACTGAAGGGTCCCAGGTTCGATTCCAGTCAAGGGCATGTACTTTGGTTGCGGGCACATACCCAGTAGGGAGTGTGCAGGAGGCAGCTGATCAATGTTTCTCTCTCATCGATGTTTCTAACTCTCTATCCCTCTCCCTTCCTCTCTGTAAAAAATCAATAAAATATATTTTTTTTAAAAAAGAGCTGGAGAGGGACACAAGCTAATGAATGTAGAGTCCCCTTTCACGAATATTTCTGTATTCTGACTCAGTTAAGAAACACAACTCTATGAAATACCCCCACCCTCACTAACCAGTGGAGGTGCTCTGGGAATGAGAATGGGAGGGAACTCTAAGATGACCCTTTCCACCATTTTTCTGCGGATAGACATTTAAGTTACCTGTGGGTTTTCTTTTACAAACAGTATTTTCACCGAACCATCACTCACATGTGTAATTATGAGCGTGTGTCATTTGCTCTAGCTTGAGGGCCGAGCAGCACAGGGCAGGCAGCACAGGACTGCTGCAACTCCTTCCAGGTATGCTTTATATACAATGTGCTCATCTCTTTCTCTATTTCCTCCTCTTCCTGACTCATGTAAGGCTTATGCCTCCAGAGAAGCATAAAGGTAATTTTAATTTTGTCAAGTTGCCTTAAAAAAAGATTGATGCTTTGACAGA